CTCCTCAGGGATGTCTTGCAGGAAGTGAGCCTTGCCAGCTGAAGCAGGGAACTGCTAAGGCAGCTGCACCCTGGTCCGACCATCAGAAAGCAACAAACCCAAGGACTAGAAAGGCATGGAAGCCATTTATCTCTCTGCCCTTCAATTAACCTCACATGTGTTTATCAGCACAATAAACTTACTAACTCAGAACATGTCTAAATTGTCCACAAATCTTAAAAATAAGTTAAGAATTATGCACACAAAAATATATTCCCATTTGGTTCCTTTTCAAAATGCTTTAAACCTTTTAGTTGCTCTTCATTCGTTCTTTACATTATGAAACAGAACAAAGTCCTTTCAAAAACAGAGAAACCAAGGAAGGAAGCCATCTCAAATATGTTCCAAGTATCATACAGCTTTGCTTGGATCAAAATCCATTTCCTGACATTTCCGCTCCATGAGTTAGGTTTTCTGAGAACAGGGCTCTGCTGGCTCTGGCTCTGCTATCTATAGGACAAGCATTGGCCATTCCCCAAATTCTAGAGCCATGTGTGTTTCACTGTTTCCCTCCCACACTTAGGTAGCAGTACTTCAATTTGGCAGTTTACCAAAATGCATCTAAGTGTAAAGCATTTGGTGATCTTTAACTAAATGCACTGATTGTGTGTACAGCATATATGTGTACATGCATATGTATGGATTTCACACATTGCAATAGCATACTGAAAGGTACACTGCATAATACTCGACTTCAAATGAATTTATCTTTGAGAAAAAATAAAATTATCTTCAAAATAATTTACTTTCACTGAGCTAAAAATGTTGACTTGGCTTAAAAAAGAAAAAAGCAAATACAATCTTATGGCAATTATTTTTCCCTTCTAAGAATGACTGACTGACTGACTGGCTCTCTTTCCTGCTGCTCCTCTGTCTTCTGTTTGTATACACTGCTCTCTGGGTCTCTCTCTCTCTTTCTGCTCTCTCTCCCTTTTCCCCTCTCACCCCTCTCTCTCATCCCTCCTCCCCCCACCAAGGTCGCCACGGGTGGGGGGGGGAGCTACAGTCCTGTGTTCAGTTTACTGTACAGCCTGAGACTTCTGTCCTTCATAAAAACTCACGTGGATCACACACACACAAGAATGACTGCTTACATATTTATTCCCAGGGAGTTTGTGGAGACTGTGATCTTTCTGACTTAGAGAATACATGAAAGGAAAAGTGGAATCAGAGGAATGAGTCTTCTGTGATTTGGTGGCTAAGTGGATCGTAGTTCTAGGGCAGAGAACACTGGGGAAAGATCCGTCTGGTGGTGGAGAACATGGAGGAATAATGAATTCACTTCAAGGGACCATGGGCCTTCTGCTTTCACTATATTGTCCAAGGAGTTCCCATGAAATCTAAATTGCACAAGTATATAGAATATTTAACAAATAACAAAATAATCTTAAATATATAGAATAGTTAACAAATTTGTTCTAAAGATTCTGGCAAGTATATTCATTGTGATTATGTGATTAGCAAAGATTTCTTGATTTTCCTTGACTAAACATTGACAGCTTATAAAAAGCCAGCAGCTTGGGTCTATCGATAGATGTCTTAGAAGAAAAGACTGATGATCTACTTCCCCCCAAATAAACCATTGAAAACTCTATGGAGGATTCTGACACACATGGAGTCACTATGAGTTGATTCTATGGCAAGTGGGGGCTCTTTGTTTTGTCTTGTCTTTTATGATGAGGAGGTAAGGGGGAATTTTGAACATGCCAAATCTTTTTATAGAGTTGAACAGGAAAATTCATGTTTCCTTTTCCTCTCTAAATGGTTCCTTGCAACAAAGTGATTTATGTAAAATTCTCCCATTGATTAAAGACCTCTGAGCAGTCTTTTAGAAATAAACTAAAGATGAGATGTTTCATCTTTGGGCTATTCAGTAGGAAATTCAATAGGAAATGACAGTATTGCCACGAGGAAGTTATTCAATGGGGAAATACTGTGTCATCAAAGGCAAGCAAATGCATCAAAAGGTGAAATAATACACATTTTAATATAGTGTTAACACAACATGAACGCAAATTATGTGTCGTCTCTTCCCACACTATTAGCCATAAGAAATTTTGTTGTAGCAAATCTAAGCCTGGAGAGAATTGAAAAATAGAAAGTACATTTCTGAGGTGATCGCGTCTGAAACTTCTACGTCCAACTGTTTGCAAGGAACTTTAATTATGGATGAAGCTGGACTTCAGCTTCATTAGTCATTTCTCATTATATCTATGACAAAAATATGCTCTTCTTATTGTTTATTACAGATCAACGAGGGCCCAGTGGGGCAAGAAGAAGCCTGGAAGGTCTGAAAACAGCAACGGGAAAACACCAGGCGTGGGGAGCCAAGCCTTGGAGCTGTCTAATGAACCGCTGTGCATCACACTGCCGGGTCCTCAGAGCTCTATGAAAATCCAATACCCTGAACCCAACAAAAACAAAATGCACACACATTTCATTGGCTTCGCTGACACCCCAAGGACATGCAATCTGCTCCGGACCGGAAACGGAGTACTCACTTTCTTTGCGAACTTCCTCAAGTGCAGCAGTAAGCTCTTCCTTTAAAACTGTGGCTTCCTGAGCGATCTTCTCTCCCTTGTCTAGTAAATTCCCAGTGGCTTCCTCCACAGAAGCTAGAAGAACTATCGCTCTCTTTGAACGACCTTTTTTCCTGTTGGATGGATTCTGGGGACAATTTACAAGTGTGGTGACCTAAAACGGGAAAAATAGAAATCGCTCATTAAATAAAGTATGAGAATATATAGTCCCAGGATATCACAGCCCAGAACAAATGAATGATTTCATAATAACTTTATTCCCTGTGCATCCCAAAAGTCAGACTTGCACCAATAAAAACATCATCGGCCACCACTGAATTCCCAACTAAATACAGATGAATTGATGGGTGGAAGAAAGTACCACAAGGACTGAATGTTAGCAAGTTTTACTATTAGAACAAAGCTTCAAAAGGCAGAGCATGTGCCTGTGTTAATTATAGAAATTCCATATTGAAAAAGATATGGAAACTTGATGAAGCTGTCAAAAATTAGAAAAGCTGAAAATTATAACTCTCAAAAATATCAGATAATTGTAAAATAAAACATCACTTTGTAGCAAGTAATCCATATTAAGATGAACAGGCATTAAGCTATTTAAATTGAGAATATAGATAACTAGTATTGAAAAATGAAATACTCTAGTACATAGGAGCAGTGGTTCTCTTAGGGGAGCTTTTATGAATTAAATTTTGTCCCCAAAAGGACCTGCTGAAATCCTAACTCTGGGACCCGCCAATGTGACCTTGTCTAGAAATAGGGTCTTTCAATGTGTAATCTGTTAGAAGAGTGATGAACACGGAAAGACATAGAAACAATCAAACCAATGTATTAATGGACCATACAAATATCAGTATCCATGGAGCTAAATGGTGGCTGGCTACCACTACAAACTTCTCTGAAAAGGATTGCATTGCAAGGTGCTATATAGAGCAAAACTCTGAAAAATCTGTCTTAGAGGGAGATTAAAAAAACAAACCAGTCTTTAAACGAGAAGACCTGTAACATTTTATGGAAAGCTAGCCTTAAAAGACGTAAGTCTTTTAAGTCATAGCAGAGGCTATGACAAACTTATGTCATTTAAAATTTTTATTTTAATCCTTTATGATTTGTAGAACTTTTTATTGTGAATTAGGAGGTTTACAGAGCAGATCATCAAGTTTACATTCAACAGTGCAATCCCAATTTGTTTCAGCTCATCCGTTGGAATCCCCTCCATGTGCGATCACTTAGTCCAATTTTTCCCTGTGTTTCTTGTTTCCATTCTTCCTTCTTTGCAAGGACTCTGGATTTTTGTCATTGAATAAATGCTGCCCTTTTTATCTTACGTGGTTAATTATTTCATCACAGGGGTGGGTTTGTTCCAGACTCGAAGGGTGACTCAAGGCCAATAGTCTTGGGAGTTCGACCTGTCTCTGTGCATCCAGTAAGCCTGGTCACCTTGATGATTTTGAGTTTTATTCCACATTTTTCTCTCACTTTATCCAAGACCTTCTAATATGATCCTTGTCATAGAAGTGCCACTTTTCCCCCAGCAGTTTTATGGGCATATAATCCACACATACAAATCAATCGTTCCATCACATCAAGAAGCAATGTGCAACCATCACCACACTGTCAGAACCTTTTCTCCATTCTTGTACTCATTATTACTAGCTTCCCATCACCCTCCCCCAACTTCCCCTGCAACACCCCCAAATCAAACCAAACTCACGGCCATCAAGTCAATGCTGACTCATAGCAACCCTCCAGGGGTTGCTGAGACTCTGTGTTTATGGGAGCAGAAAGCCTAGTCTTTCTCCAGAGGAGCTGCTGGAGGTTTCAAACTGCTGACCATGTGGATTGCAGCCAAACTCAGAACCACTACACCACCCAGACTCCTGCCATACTCCCTGGGAACCATTTACTACCTCTATAGATTTACCTATCCTAGATTTCATGTACAGAAAAAAAAAATTTTTTTAACTAACATCAACAAAGTTAAAAAAAAAAAAAAAAAGATAAAAACCTCAGTCAAAAAGAAAGCAGAAAGCATTAAAAACCAGAACAAATTTAAATGGATAATAAATAAGGGAGATTAAATGACAGCTTGCTAAATATTAACCTAACTGCATCTGCAACAATCCACTTGGTAATACATTCTGCATGAGAGCAAAGTTATTCACATTTCTGGTCCATGGTCAAAGGGGATTCACTTCCCTTCTCTTAAAAAACAAAACAAAACTAAAACAACTTTAAAATAAGTTAAAAGAGAGCTCAAATAAGTTATTACATTTTAACCTAACTACATCTGCCATAATTGACTTTAGAATTCTGTCTGTTAACAGGGCTGTTCACATCCCTTACCTATGATCACAGGGAATTGACTCGGGGCTTAATCCCTGTGTGGACCCTGAAAATGGATTTTGGGCTTCCACTAGCATCCATAGCATTCTGCAAACCAAGTGTTTACAAGTTAAGCTCTTCTGTCATTCCCTCCTTTAGATTTGGATGATATTATTTACAGTCATGGATCACACAGGCTAGTGTACTTCTTCAATGTGGACTTAGTTGAAGCATTACTTATATGGCTGCTTGTTTGAAAATAAGTCTTTAATTTCCTTCCTGCTCCCACTATCATGACACGAATTCTACTTGCAAGTCTGGCTAGACCAGAGGATGTACACTGGTACAGATAGGAACTGGAAATACAGGGAATCCAGGGCGGATGATCCCTACAGGACCAGTGGTGTGAGTGGTGATACTGGGAGGGTAGAGGGAGAGTGGGTAGGAAAGAGGGAACCGACTACAAGGAACTATATGTGGCCTCCTCCCTGGGGGACGGACAACCGAAAAGTGGGTGAAGGGAGACGTCAGACAGGACAAGATATGACAAAATAACAATTTATAAATTATCAAGGGCTCATGAGGGAGGGGGGAGCGGGGAGGAGGGGGGAAATGAGGACCTAATGCCCGGGGGCTTAAGTGGAGAGGAAATGTTCTGAGAATGATGAGGGCAATGAATGTACAAATGCGCTTTACACAATTGATGTGTGTCTGGATTGTGGTAAGAGTTGTATGAGCCCCTAATAAAATGATTTAAAATAATAATAAGTCTTTAAGACCCCAGAAGCTATTCTTCCTAATAACTGGGCACCACATTGTTTCTTCATCACACTTTGCTTTTTGCCCTCATATTTTCAATGATCTCCTCATGAGGGTTATCATAAAGCAGGGCCATGTCCTAAGAACTAATTGTTCTTAAATCAGGCCTATAAATAGGTAAAAGCACAAAACCCATTCATGCAACTATGATTTATACATGTCTCTGGTTTACCTTAGAAACAGCATTGCCATTTTATGCAAGAGAACATTATTAATCTCCCCCCTAGGACATCATTTCCTCTGCCATCACGTCAATGCTGACTCACAGCAACCCCATACGACAGGGAAGAACTGCCCCTGAGCAGAGGTGCCACCTTTCTAACAACAACCTATAGCCCTTCCTTCTCTGCAGACCCTGGAGATTTCCTTCCTTTATGGTTTGTGGGACAGCTAGACATATGCACACACCTTTTTTTTTGGCTAATAAATAAGGTTTAAGCCACAGGGGAAATACATGGATGAAAGTAATTTTTGTTTGCCCTCCTGTAGTCTTACTGTTTGTCCAAAAGACTCTGTTTTACTCTAATTGGCTTTACTCGTGTGCTCTGAAACCAGAGTACAGTACTTTGTGACAAAGCTTTGCTTCTTCTCTTGGAAAATGAAAATATATTCCATAATACAGCTATGAAGGTTAAATAATATCAAATGTTTGGTAAAACACCTAAAATGACATAAATACTAGTTGGTAATTCATGTATTTTCTAGTCCAGTCTCCTCAGAGACACAGAAAATTAGTTGTGAGATCCTTGCCCAAGCTGCTCACTCTGGGTCTAAACTTATCTCACGCTGAGCTCCCTATTGTAAATGTGATGAGGGCACATTCTACATGTTTTCCTAGCAGCCCCCTAGGGAAATGCAGCTTTGCCATGGATTATATAAGAATACTAATAAGCCTGATTTATTACATGGACTTTGACATTGTCCAAAAGTCAAATAGCTCACTACTGTCAGTCTAATACATATATCGAAAGTTAAAAAATATTTCTAAAGATTAAGACAAATTATACCACCTGTTTAAAACTTTTGTCTACAATGAAGAAAAAGCACCCTTATCTAAAATGTTCCTTGAGAATGTATTTTAAGTGCACCATTCATGCCACTTCCCACTGCACATTCTTCCTCTATTGTGCAGCTCCTGCAGGCACCAAACGTTTGCCATGGAAGAGCCTGAATTTTGACATTAGAATGAGCATTCCAGAAGTGCTTTGTTTCTTATCATAAGTGCTGGCAAAGTACAAAGAGTGAAAAGAGCATTGTATAAGACTGTCGCGCTCCCATCCAAAGAAACGCCACCGCCACTTGCAAGTTATTCCCTCTCATTAGCTGTTTGTACCCATGTCTTCTTTTAAAATGCTCAGTATAATTATTTAAAATTGATCTAACTAAAGTTAAGGAACATCTTCAATGACTTCTTTTCATTCCAAAGGAAAATCCAGTTTGAAAATCAATCCTGTCTGGGACAGAGGAGGAGAGAGGAGCCTGAAGCATTTGTCACCCTAACTCATCTAAAAGGTATAATGTGCCCCCAGCATGGACTGACCCTCCCGTGAACAGAGGTTTTCACCACACGGGGCGGGTATGTGGAAAAGTCTCTATGTCTTAAAGGGATAAGAGCAAACACCAAAATTAGCTTTCAAGTTATTCTGAAAAATCATTCCTTTTTGTGTGTCTTGTTTTTCAGTACAAAATGAGTGATAACCATAAAAGGGACAAGAAACTCACAAAAACCATCATTGAAGCTTCCAACAAAGATGATCTTAACATACAGCCCGAGCTCATGTTTTGCTGACTTTACTTGTTTGTCAGAGATACAACCCTCCGATACTCATTCTCAAACTTCAGGGATCCCTCTCGTATGGAAAATCTTCAGCTCTATGCTTACCCTTAGAAAGGCTGGCTTTGCTTTATTAATTCAGTTAAGGTTGAAGTCATAAAACTGGTGTATTTGAGCTGTTTGAATTTTAACCTTTCTTTAATAGCTCACAAGAGCCTTCAGGGTTACTTTTGCTTCCT